TAATAATAATATTAATAATAGTAATAATGGCAATACTACTACTACTACTACTACTACTAGTACTAGTACTAGTACTAGTACTAGTACTAGTACTAGTACTACCTGCCTACTTACTAATAAAAGTAAAAATAGTAATAATAATAACAATAATAATAGCAATACTAATATCAATAGCAATAACAATAACAATAATACTAATAATAATAATATTAATAATAGTAATAATGGCCATACTACTACTACTACTACTACTACTACTACTACTACTACTCCTACTACTACTCCTGCTGCTGCTGCTACTACTGCTACTATTATTAAAGAATAATGATAATGACAAGTTAAAAATAATTTTAAGAAGAAGAAGAATAATAATGACAATGATAATAATGATAAAAAAATACTAATACCAAAAAATAATGATGACAATAATAATATCAAGAACAGTAACAATAATAATAAGAAGGAACCCAACAAAAAAGCCCCGGGGCCGGAGGTCCTCCAGTCGCAGTGGCGTTACCACGAGGACTCCCGGAGTGGTCTCGCCCGACTCATCGGCCCCTGGCCGGGGGCCAACATGCATCTCCTCGGCTGGAGATGAATTTCGGGCCTACGGGCTTTTGGATTGGATCTTTTCGGGTCTTTTCGGACTATGCAGTCAACAAAGGATAATCCTTCGGGCGCCTGTTGTGGTTTTGACTTCTCGCCGAATGCTCCCACTGAGATCTGCGCATTGCTGTGGTCAAAGACCCCACGGACCTGCAAAGGAAAATGCCAGTAACGAGCTACTGTACCTAAAGATGTAGTTTGAGTTGACGAAGCACGGCTCAACAGCCTGTACCATACTTGCTCAAACGGGACTGCCTCCACCACGCGGTAGATGAAGTCCGGAACCTGATGTTAAGTTCTATGAAGCTTGGGATGTCAGGGCTCTGACCCCCCTGCTTCGCGGATCAGGGCACGTCGTTAACAAGGTTAGTAACGAGGAGTGTGGTTAAGTAGGAGAAACCCCACCTTGAACAGCCACGGATGGGGTTCCCAAATACAACATGGCCCTATGAGCACATCGCACTGCTGTTGTTGAGGACCGCCGTTCTAGATCAAAAATATCAAGTTCTGCACATCCGAAAACTCAAGGCGGACTGCACGAAACGCTTGCTTGGAAACTTAGGTCTTTGGCTTGGAAACCTGGAGCTCACATTGGTGCTTGCGATCGCGCACAGCTCTCGCAGCTCATCGTGTCTTGATTGCCAAAGTACCGAGACCTCTTAAGGATGCAATGAAAGAGAACCGCCAAAAAGGGTGGCCAAAAAGTTGTCTTACTGTTATGCAAGGTGAGACAGCGTGATTTCGAAAGGACTTTCTTTCAAGATCCCGTCAAGACTCCGGGTGTGCGAACACATGCTCTATGGCCCCAAACCCTAAACCGCTCAACGAAAAGCTTTGGCATCTTTTTAGTGCTCAAAAGACTCGTAAGGATACCTCACTTTTCTTCCGGGTTGAAGCTTCGCAATGACTTTAGTGAGATCAACTCGCTAAACAAAGCTGTGATGCAAGCTTTCCAAGTAGCCTGTGCTTGGAAAGAGACCGCTGAAACTTACGGGGGCAACCTGTGGTTTAGCCTCGCAGCCATAGAGGGCTCTTACTTCCTCAATCGACCTAACCACCAAGGTGACTAGTGCGGTATCCAGGTTAGCTCTCCTACGTACAGGCTTCAAGCCGTGATGGTTTCCAGCAAGCCTGCCTGGAAGCGCTTACGGATCAACCCCAGGCCAATGAATGAGTCCTTCAAGCCTACAAACCTGTAACCTTGAAGCCCTTTGGTTAGCTCTATAGCCCTGAATCCAAAACCTGAAACCTTCTTCTTGGGGTTTCTGATTGCCTGGTCCTTCCACGGAAACGGGCTGCCCGTGACCTGAGCCACGGGGACGCAAACTTTGCCAGCGTGAGAGAGGCTTCAAGAAGTAGAGACACTATTCCTTAAGGGGCGGAGGGTCTTTTTCCTAAGGCTGGCGATCCCCGCTATTTTGTTTGGTTGCAAATAATTTAAACGGCAGCATTTGCTACTGTTTTGCATCAAGCTTATTGGGCGACCCGCGGCAAGACTTCGAAAGAGACCGGAGGGGGTTGCGGACCCGCAGGACCAGGGGATCAGAGACCAAAGGACCAGGGGGCCAGAGGACCAGGGGCCTAGGCCAACCCTACCAAGGGTCCCAGACAAGAGCCAACGTCAAAAAAACAACATCAGGGCACTTCCTTAGGGTTCCTCAACATAACTACAGGTAAATCCTGGAAGATGTAGTGTGCTTTATGACTTGAGGCGTCCAAGCCCTGATGATACACAGAAGCTCCGAGCCCCGGCATTCAGGATCTCCTACTTGCGCGCGTTTGACAGATTTTTGTACGGCTTCATTGCGTTTTACGGAGAGAACACAGACTTCAACATTGCTTGTTGAAGGATCCCTTCTCTAGGAAATTTCTGCTCCCAGGAGTATTGCTGTGTACATTGGGGCTTTCTTTGGTAATCTCTGAAGTTCTTGCATGCCCAACCTAGACCTGGCCATTGTCCTGCAAGCTGCCCCCTTTGCACTGCGGGCTTACATGACTAGAAGCTGCAGCTGCTACGGAACTGGGGGTTTCTAGATCATCTCACGAGGAGCCTGGATGCGGGGCATGGCCAAACGCTGGCGCCGCATCTCAATCAGCTCTTTCTTCCATTTCATCCTGGATCCAGAGGTAGTTCAAGGCTCGGAGGCTTTCGGCAGCAGGTTAGGTGGTCGCAGCAAACGAGTTTTTCTCCTTTTCCTTGAAACCTTGAAGAGATGAGAGTTTGCATAGATTCCTGAGGAGCCCCGGGCCCAGGCCGCCAGGTTCGGGTCATGGCAAAGGCTGCCAAGGCCAAGCTGCAGAATCGACGTCAACTCGAAGCAGTCCCTCACTTGACTTTCTAAAGAACTCAAGTTCTCATGTGGTTTCCAGGGCTTGTATCCAAAGGGTGCAGTCTTGCCCGGCGGAAGGTTCATTCGTATTGCATGCTGCCACAAGAAGCTATGAGACAACCAAACATCAGGTGCTACCCGAGATTCTTTCTGATTATGTGATGAACGATTATGGTTGGTACCCTTCATCGCCGCGACCGCTGTCACTGCTGTCGCCCCACCTCTTCAGCTGCCACATCCCCAGGCTCGATACCAAGAGGAAGCAGGCCTCAGGATGGGTCACCGTGGGATGTTGGTGTCAGGGTCGGCACTTGCGATGAATGCATTACCGAGAAGAGTGCAGGAATTCCGTATGAGGAAACCCTTGGCGCATCTTCGCCTTTGCAAAACGAAACTTGTCTGAGGGAAGGCTCGAACCTCTTGCTGTCGAGACTAGCCGACTAGCCTTGACATTCTGTGAAGTTGATTTGCATGACGCCAAGCCACGGCGCCAGTGGCCAGCAGCTGCCATTTCTCGTCCCCGCGGATGCCGTACTGCCTGGCACACGAGGGGCAGCGAATAATACAGGGGTCTTAATAATTAGAATAGGGTTTTGGGCTCCTTTATGGTATACATATAACACAAACCCCAAAAGGTTCGCGATTGCTCAGAACTGAAGCCCTTCACGACGCGAGCCGTGACTCCTCCTCGATGCTAAACCCAGAAAGCAAAAAAACCCCTTGACTTTTCCAGCCGGCCTTTTGCCAGGTTTCAGCACCCGGGTGCTGCGCTTCAAGGAGGTCGTAGGTCGAAGGTGGGCATTTGCTTGCGCGATTGCCGATATCCACGGTATAACCGTTCTTGCAAACCTACTTAAACCTACTTACTCCAGCCGCTATTCCTGAAAAGCCGTGCTGGCAAGAAATCCTGCTTGCCCCAAAACAAGCCAATCAAAGCTCAAGTGAGGTGAGGCCTGTTGCGCACGGTGCGTGCGACAGGGCTCGTCACCTGAGAGCCACCCTTTGACCGAACAGTCCTCTCCCTATAGGTCTCTTCTGCTAGTGTTTCTCAAGGTAGATCGAAGGCCCCTTAAGCATGTAGGGCATCCGGTTTCTAGGGTGATCTTGCGGACAAAACAACATTCCTAAAAAGGGCCTCAATTTGACGCCTTGAGCTGAAATATCTTCCTGGCCTGGGAGCTCCGGTTGGAGGGTCTTTGCGGGTTTGAGTTTGCGGGTTTGAGTTATCTTTCAAAGAGGAGCTCACCCAAACCCTAAACCCTTGTGTAGCCCTAAACCCCAAAACCCTAAACCCGGCTGATCCTTCGAGGGTTTACAGGTCTTCGGGGCTCGGGGTTTCAAGCACAAGGGTATCACAAGGGGATCTGCTGGGATCCCAGGTCCTTCTTTAGAGGCCTTCGGTCAGCAACATCATCATGCTGAGGAGCATCTTCATTTTCAGGATTTTGCACCATCATTCAGCACCAGCAACATGAACAACATCTGCACATCTTATCCTCCTCATCTTCCCCTTCACGATCGACACCACTACAAGTACCATCGTCCTCCCAATGAATACAGTGAATACAGCTTTCGCCACTGTCGTCGTCATTCTCGTCATTTGTCGTCGGGAGTGTAGCACGTTTTCCGTGAATACTCGCCCGTCTCTCCCTTAAAGGCGTCTCCGGTGAGACTGTGGACTTCCCGATCTTTCTCCATGCAGCCGGAGAGTACTCTAGAGGTCTTGATAATCGCCTATACCATTGTGGGGGCTCCAAAGTAAAACAGCAGAAGACAATACACCCAAAACTCAACTCTAACTATGAAGGCTCCTATATTACGTTTATGCTTACCGAGCAATGGTTCACGACGGGGGCACCAGGGTTTGATTGGTGTGTCCTCGTGCCTCTGTGCGCGCTATCTGTTCAGCAGACGACTTGCCGCCACTATGACAGTAAACGCCAGTTTAGTTTGAACTAGTCAGATCCGTGCCGGTTATGTCGGTCTCGTCCACCTGCCGGTGTTGTGTTCTCGCTAGAACTCCGTGCAAAGTGCAATTTCCATATCTTTGCGTGCAAGTATGCAGTAATGAGCACACACATGCCCATGGTTAGAAACTGTCAGAGAGCATGCGGAGCATCTTGCTTCGAAGCACAGCTTTCAACCTGTAAGCCTCGCCAACAATCCGAATGGCAAGCTGAAGGTGGACTGAGGTCCCACGCCGGATCTGACAGCCGAACAAGCCTGTGCTGAGATTCCAGACGGGACTTAGGCTGTCAGGCCTAGCGAAGCCATCCGCTTCTAAGTAGCAACAGGTATCTGCTGATGCCTTGAAGACTTTACCATTCAAATTTTTGGGAACCCGGCAAGAGTCCATAGTGGCCCGGACACGAAAAAAAAGGGCATTACGTAGAACAGGCCGTAACCCTCAAACCCTTGCACCCTTGAACCCTGCAGTCTCTCGCTCTCTCTCTGTCTCTCTTTCTCTCTGCTTACTTATATATATATATATGCATATTTATTAATGTTTTTGATTTGCCGAAGTGGAAGCCCTCAGACCCAGGATCGAAGGGCTAAAGCCCGAGGTAACCAGGCTTCCGGAAGCGCAAGGCAGCCTTTCGAAACTTTAGAGCCGTAGAAGTTCTAGAAGTTCTCATCTAAGGCACCTGATGTGCTGCAAGCAAGCCAAAGCTCTCAGTTGTCCAAACTCCATCTCTAGCGCAGCCCATACTTTTTGAAAGCATGCCATCGCCAAGTAGCCGGATGATCACCGAGCCTTCCACTTGGAACGGCGTCGGGTACATGAGCTGAGACCTGAATTGCTTGTGATGGTGACATCTAGGATGATGGTGGAGATGGGAACGTTTTGAAAACGAAGATGAAGCAAATGATGTTGTTGACAGTGCGTCCGATGGTGTTGGCTACGGCGTGTGTGACAAGGAAGAAGGCGGCGGTGACAGCAATGATGCTGATTCTATGACTTTTCTTGGTGTGGGCACTTCTTTAAACTCCGAAGTTGGAACTGTATACCCCGGCCATGACGACCGCGACAGCCAGGACCACCACTACGACCAGACCGACAGGAATACCACGACACCCTAACCGCAACATGCCACTGGGAACGAACCATGAGGGCACGAGGAAAGCAACAGGGGAGCACCAGAAGACCAAAGAAAGACCCAGAACCAGGAGACCGACATCACGGCCACAGTTCTTCCCCCAAGTTTAAGGGAGATTCAGGAGCACGGTCAATACTGGCGGGAGTCAGCAAGTGGTTTCGGGATTCAAAAGGGTGGCCAAACTGCTTGCTAGGAGTTTACAATGGAATTTCGGGAGACGCGGCCACACGGGTCCTATGCAAATTCAAAGTCTGCACAGTGCCGCAGCTGGAGCCACGTCCCGGGCAACCTCCCGGCGAGGTGCGCCCACGGATCTTGTAAAAGGTTGTACAGGGCCTTTTCGGGCCTTCTCTCATGCTCCACACCGACGGTCGTTCTTGAAGCTCTGTGGATGATTGCTTGTTACACGTGTTGTTGCAATGATGAGGCGACCGGTGCCGTAGATGATGTGAAACAAGAACATGGGAACAACACGACACTAAGTGCTCTCCTCGCACCAGGACTCAACTTTCCAGGACCTTTTTGCCTTTGGCCGCTGTTTTGGGGCGATGAGCTGCCGAGTGCAGTCACAGCGGACCTTTCTCCTCGAGTTAAGAGGCTCAGAGGCTCACAGAAGCTTTAGCTCAAACCTCACTTGCTCGACCCTGTGAGGCCTTAGGGCCGGCAACCTGGAGGGCCCCCACAAGCAGCCTGAAACTTTGCAAGAAAGAGTGCAGCCCCGGGGAGAACGCAGAGGAACCCCCCTTAAGGGACCGGGCTCGCTCAAGATCTCGATGTCTTCCTTGCTGGCTGGCCACAAGACCTGCAACTATGAAGCAGAGGTCTAGTGGCCCTTGGGAGTGTTCAGCTTCAACGCCTCCTGAAACGCTTCAGGGTTCGGAGTGGCTTTCGCTTCAGGGTACAGCTTTTGGCATGGGCCTTAGTTTGGCAAGTCACAGATTCAACAGCGGAAGATGTTTCCAAAAGGAAAAGGCAAGCTTTCCTCTGTGCATATAAATGTATATATATATATATGTATGTATATATATATATATATATGTATATATGTGTATATATATATACATATGTATATATATATATATATGTAAATACACATACATATATATCATA